AGGAAAGCGAAGCGCAACTGGCTGGCAGTGTCGACGACGCACCCGCGTGCACGCTGCAGCCGTCGACCCACGTCGCAGGGGCCTGACCTGCTTCAAGGGGGCCTCCCAGGCCCGAATGGGGCCCCCTAGCAGCATTCAACCTCGAACGCCCGCGCTGGGGTCGCCGCCGCTGCGGCTGTGGCGACGACCGGCGAAGAGGGTGCAATTCCCGCCACCCTTCGCGAGAAGGGCGCCAAAGCTGTGAGAAATCCTCATTCCCCTCCTTCATATCCCATCCCCACCCAATCAAATTCAATATGTAATTTGTTTGTGATTTATATATATATATATATGGCCCTGGGCACGGCCCAGGCAGCGATCGCGCTATCATCTGGATAACCAGAGTAGTATGGCATAGGAGAGAGGAGCGTCAACGGCAATAGAACTGCCTGCAATCTTTGCTCAGGGACGTTAGAGTAAAGTGCGATATTGAATTCGAGAGTGACGCCACAGCAGTAGTTGTCACTGCCGGTTGACGTGGGTTGGGCACAGTGAGACACATTGAGGTATGTCAGCAGTGTTTGCGCGACAACGTAAGAGATGGTTGCGTCAAAGTAGATGAAGTTGGAACGGGTGACGACGTATCCGATGCAGCTACCAAGTACGTGAGCAGCGAAAGTTTGAGAGGGCACCTGAGGAGACCAGGACAGTACCATGGGCAACGGGAACACGATTTAGAACCAGCAGCGGAGTGCAAAGTAGCCCGCAGCCATGTAATAACGAGCTTTCAGCTTACCTTGTCACCGCGACAGACCAAATCCCTAAACCGCTTCCTGTCGAATCCCAATACCATGTGACGCTCGCGCTACTCATGGCGGGCGATGGCGTCCAGGCGCCAGAACTCTCGCCCATCAAGACAGGGCAGGTCTACAAATAGGGGGTGGAGAAAGAAGCATATTTGGCAGATTTGGGGGCCCTTTAGGGGCCGCTTCTTGCTTTGCACCTTTTTGACCATGTTCGGCGCGGAGACTGCGCCGGCGGTTCATTGCGCAGTGGAATCTACGCGCGCGAAGAATGCGGCGTGACCCGGCTGATGGGGCAACGCTGGGCCCCGCGGAGTTGCGCGACGACGCCAGGGGTGCTCTCTCGGGATTGCCTTCAGCGCGGGGCAGCATTGGGCCCCTGCATGGGTACTTACTAGCCACTTGTTGTGCCGCCGCGGCAGTGTAGACGCACCTCGGGGATTCTGTCATGCATTGCAACCTTTGGTCGCCCGCTGGCCTCGCGCGTCAAAATATTTCGGCGGGGCCTGCCGCGCGCGACTTTCGCGGCGCAACTCGATGCCCGCGCTTGAAGTTGCGCCGCAAGCGTGGGGCGGCGTCGAGATTGACCTCGCCAGCGCAGGCGCAGTCAGCCGCGAGGGCGCAGCGGCAATCGGGGGCGCAGTGGGTCGCGTTCTCCAGCTGGATAGCAACCTTGCCCGCGACGCCGAGCGGCGAAGAATTGGCGCGGGGGGGGCCGAATTGCGCGCGGCGGGCCAGGTGGCCAAACTGGCGCGCAACGCGCCCGCAGCTGCGAGATACCGCTTGACCGACCAGGCGGTGGATCGCCGCGATGGCCCGGGGGCCCGCGACCGCGACGAGGATTTGAACGAAGACGAGGGCGAGATACTCAAAGGCGAGAGGAATCGCCGGGCTCGACGGCGAAGGCGACGTCGGAAACGTGGATTCCTCACCGGGCTGCGCTGTTGACCCCCTGGGACGTCATCGGGCGGAGGCGGCGCCGGCGACTCGCTGCCTACGCGGGCCAAGAGCGTCGACAGGGTGGCAGCAGAGCCAGTCGCTAAATCGAAGGATTAACTGACGGTGGAAGTGGACAGGTCGTCGGAGCGCGATCGCGACGTCGCGGGCGACCAAGGCGATGGCGAGGGGGCCGGCAAAAGGTGATCTAGACGCGCCCCCGCCATTGCGCGCCCCTCCTGGCCGCCCAGCCCAGTCGTCGCCCTTCCCCGCGCGCGCTGCGACAGCGCTGCGAACTTCGGTCAGACAGCGCCGGGCAATCTCGCGGCGCCCGAGGGCGTCGCGCATTCGCGGGGCGCCCCGACTGCGGCCCCAATTTCGGGGAAGCCCCGCCGCGCGCTCTTCTATCGACCAAAAGACAGAGCGCGTTAGGGCCATGACTTGGCGGGGCGCAATGACCGCGCAACGCGCGGCCTTTAGGGCCCGCAGGGCAACGTCCTAACTGTTGGAGACTGCGACGTTGTACCATGACTCGTTTGGGGTCATGTCCTCATGTTCGGTAATCTTGACCGCGCGGTGCCCGCGGCTCATCGGGGCCGCCGACGCGGCGCCGGCCCCTGCCCCGTCGCTATCGCGAGCAACGCGACGCACGATTTCCTGGCAACCGTCATCCAGAGCCAGTTCCCCGTCGTTCGCGGGGGCTGCCCGGGGCCGCGCGCGCCGCATCAGCCCCCGGGCGCGTTCAACGAATGCGACGTCAGCATTGACGCGCAGGTGCGCCCTGACGTCGCCCCTGAGCTGCAGGGGCGGGAGTGTGTCAACATGATGACCACATGGTTTGGCGCGCTGTGGCCTGGTAACCTTACGGTCGTCAGTTTAGCGGCCATCTACAATGTCGCCGCCGTCTGGAATGGCCAGGGGGGCATCGTGGCTGGAACATGGCCCGTGCTATTCGTAGCCGGAAAGTTGGCGCGGGAATTCATGGCGTCGGACGATGGTCTTGACATTGCCCCAAGCAACTTCGACGCCTCCGCAGCAATCCTGACGGGTGGAACCAGTGCTCCGTCGAGAGGCCCCCCCCTTGCCTGGTGCCGCGCGACCCTCTTCGCTCCCGCTTGCCAGCCCCGCGGTTTCCGCGACCGCCATAACCACGAGGCGAACAAGAGACCCACGCATCCATGAGGGCGCGCGGCCACAAGGGCGAGGGGATCATCTGGCGGGCCCAGCTGCCAGCAGGGGTTTGTCACATGTGGGCCACCAGCCAGATCTGGGTGGTAGACTCCCGCTCGGGCGCTAACTGCGACGAGAGGTGCCGGGGCCTGAACCGCGAGCTGGTCGCGTCTGACGCTCGTCACCCCGACTGCGCTTGCTGGCTGGCAGTCGGGGGGCCAGACCCCCTGAGGCGCAGGTCGGCGATGGAGTTGCCCGAGAGCGACGTCGAGGCTAGGCTGGGGGCCTGAGCCGATAGTGACGAGGAGGCGAACCATCTGGAGAATGATCCGTTCCTGATGGACAGTCAGCGTCGCTGGATGATGGGGCAGTTGACTAGCCGCGAGCGCGACGGGATGCCGATGGCCAGTGCCGGCGGTGAGGACAAGAGGCTGAAGTCATGTTCGCAGAGGCCCGCGTGAGTGAGCATGCGTAACCAGTGGCATTGCGAAGGCCTTGCGGCCGGTGCCGCCGACCCTAAATGACGACGACGACGACGACGAGCGCTCTCGGGGGCCTCTTGGGGGTAGTTTGGGGGCCTCCTGGGAGGCTCTTGGGCGCCGCTTGGGAGCCTCGTGGAGGCCTCTTGGGGCTTCCTGGGGGTCTCTTGAGGGCCTCTTGGGGGGCTTTTTAAGGGCCTCTGGGGGCGTCCTGAGAGCTTGTCAGGCCGAGGGGGCGAAATGTCCGTTCGGGTCCCTCGTCTGGGTTCCCTCTTGGGGCCGTCTCGGGGGCCTCCTCGGCTGTCTTGGAGGCCTCTTGGGCGGTACTGGGGCCTTCTTAGGTCGTTGTGGAGCTCTCTTGGGGGCCTCTTGGGTAATTTTGGGGCGATCTCAAAGGCTTCTTGGCTTGTTTTGGAGCGTCGGGAAGCTGACAAGGCGAGAATGCTGAAATCGTGGAAAAAAATCTAATTGTTTGTTCTTCCTTGGGGCCGTCTTGGAAGTCCTCTTGGAGGCCTCTTGGGGCGTTTCGGAAACCTTTTGAGCCGTCTGGAGGTTATTTTGGCGAGTTGGACCGATACCTCGGCGTTTCGGGGCCCGCGAAGTTTTGCCGCGTCTTGGGGTGCTTCTGGGTTCCAGAACCGCCTGGGGGGGATTCGCATCTGCCCTGGGACCCCCCCGGGACCCCACCGCGGGGACCCTCCCCCCGGCGGGGAAGGGATCAAAGGGAAGGGGCTTCCCTTCGACTCAACTACAACGTTGCTCAATTTCGCTGTGGTTGGCGCGGCGCGGTCGAGGAGGAGGGCCCGGTGAAAATGGGAGAGGGCGGCGATGGGCTTTGGGAAAGAGGGGGAAGTGGCGAAGGCGACGACGACAACGAACACGACGACGACAAGTCAAACGGAACAGCCTCTTCAACACGCCGACAGGGTCGGCGGATATTGTCCTCATTAATTTCTCTCTTCGGCCTGTCGCGTTTGTAAGTAATTCAAAGTCAAACTCACTGCAATGCGCGTGGCATCTGTGAGAAAAGCATAGAGCGGCGGAGCGGAAATCTTGCCGTATCTTCGGCCACCTTTTGCGCTGCCATGCCCCATTTGCTCTACGCAATATTTGCGCCCTTTACATTTCGCGCGCGCGCATTGTATGTTCTGAATGTGTATGTCCGAGCCTTGCCAAATGTTTGCCGCTCTTTACGTCGCAACTTTTGTGCCGTTGAATTTGATCCCGTTCCCATTCGTGGCACGTGCGTTTTTTTAAAACAAAAGATGCGCGTAACTTATCTGGTTTAGGTCATCAGGTCGAGAGGGTTTTTTTCAATGTAGCCCTTCAGGTAACTATGCAGACCGCGGCACTTGGCTCAAGTAGTTGTAATTGCCGTCAGACGGTGTGGCACAATGTTCGATTTTAGCGTCGACAGGTTCTCGTTGAACAGAACTATATCTTCGTTACCATCGTTCAGCTAAGTCTGCAGGAGGGAAACGGAGGAGGAGGAGGAGGTGGATGATGATGATGATGAGGATGATGAGGAGGAGGAGGAGGAGGAGGAAGAGGAAGAGGAGGAAACGAAAGAGGAGGATAGGAGGAGGGCCAAGAGTTTCGGGGGCGCCTTCTCCCCCGCAGCCCCCCCTGTGAGGAACTCGTGCCCCACCACGCCTAGCCGCGGCAGCCCCGCGGCGGCCGCATCGGAGACGCCAGACGGCGAGGCGCAGGCCGAGGGTGGGAGGGCGAAGGGGCGCCAGGCTTGCAGGAGGCCACGGGCTCCTCATTGCTTCTTTTTTTTTGCTGCCAGAAAGTCAGGACGGACTGCTGTGGTCCGCTGCCGGCTCCCAGGATCCCCCGCCGGGCTTCGGGGCCGCGAAACGGCGACCCGGCATGAAAAATCTGTCTTGGGGAAGGGGTCCTTGCCTCTGGGGATCGACGTTGCGAACGATCACGGCGTCGGAGCTAAGGGCGTCGGATGACGTCTCCTCGCCTCCCCTCGCCGTGAAGGAGTCACCACGGGAGGAAGGGGAAATTGAGGAGGACGGTCGCATCCCACCGCGTCGTCGGGCGGGGCTGCAAAATGTCGAGGTGGCCCCGATGTGGCGGTCTGGCATCGCGCTTCACGTCCCAGGCGTGCCCTGCAGAACAGGGCAGGCAGCTCCGCATTCGTGTTTTGAGATCTTGCTGCTGCCGCTCACGACCGAAAGCTCGACCTGGCTTAAATTTGTGCGGTAGGTTATCGGCGGTTTTCACCATCCCGCTTTGAGCCTCTTTTCTGGTGGATTCGTTCTGAGTTGCACCCCCTGAGATACATCCCTCTCGGATCAGGACCGTGCTTCACAGCGCGCGTGTCGTTTACATTATTTGCCCATTGCAGGCTTGATCTGCACATGTTATGTGCCTCTTGACTCTTGAAGCGTTTACCCCGCCGAGGGGGAGAATGCTCTGGGCCCTCGCGGGCTCATCCAGAGACGATTATTCGACGAGCTGCATTGGCCAGGGCAGTGTCTGAGCACACACTGACACGAGAAGGGGGGGCAGCCGCTCCATTTGCTTCACACTCTCCTTCGCATCGAAGACGCCCCTGGCGAATCACCTCCGCCCCGTTGCCTTTTCGAAACGCCCACGCGGCCAAACGTTGGGGTCGAAGCCTGGCCAAGCTGTTGGACCACGTGTTCGCCCGGCCGTCTGGAATCCCGTGCGGGGACACTTGCGAGGGGGAAAGGAAGGAGGAGGACAGGGAGGAAAAGGTGGGCGAGGAAGGGGGGGAGGAAGAGGAGGAAGAGGAGGAGGAGGAGGAGGAGGAGGAGGAGGAGGAGGAGGAGGAGGCACCTTGAGGGCCTCCTGGGGGCTGCCTGGGAGCCTCACAGGGGGCCTCCGAGGGTCCTCTGGGGGGCTTCTTGGGGCCAGACTCACGAGTCATTCTGTCCGTGTTCTATCTCAGTCATGCGATCGCCTGAGGAGTGAGTCCCTCGAGAGTCATACATTGGGACTTGTTTCAAGGAGCGCTCTGCGTATTGAAATCCTCCAGTATAATCGGCGCTGCCTTTCGGCCACGCCTGCATGGTCAAACGTTGGACCAGCGCGTGGCGAAGGCATGAGTTTGGCCAGGATATTCAATTGCATGTTCCCCAAGTCGACGTGGAATTGCTGGGGGGACCACTGCAGAGGGGAAAAGGAGAGGAGGACGGGAGGCAGGAGAAAGGAGCCATGGAGAGGGAGGAGGAGGCCTCTTGGGACACTCTTGGGGCCTCCTGGGCGCCTCCCCTGGGCTTCTTGTAGGCCCCTTGGCGACCTCCTTGGATCTCTTGGGGGCTTCTTGGGGCCTCTTTGGCCGTCTTAGGTTGTTCCTGGCCTGTCTGACGCCGTTGGGAACCGTCTTTGGGGCCTCTTTGAACCGACATGGGGCCTTCTTTGGGCGATTCAGGGCTGTCTTGGTGGCCGTCTTGCAGGCCTCGTGGGCCGTCGTGGGGCCATCTTGGAGGCCGTTGGGGTGATCTTGTGGGCCGTCTTGGGCCGTCGGAAGGCAGAAAAAAGGAAAGACCAAACTCCTTGTAACACATCTGGAATATCAAGGAGTTTAGCCTCGTCGGGCCTTGCCTTGGAGGCCTATTGGGGACCTCGGGCCGTCTTGGGGCATCTTGAGGGCATCTGGGCGATCTTGGATGCCTCTTAGGCCTTATTGGAGCCATCTTGTGGCCATCTTGGGCTCTTCTGGGGCCGTCTTGGTCGCCTCGGAGGCCATCGCCGACCGTCTCCGAGGCCCTCGTGGAGCTCGCTTGCGCTGGAAGGCCGACGGGATACGCAATCGGCGGGCGCTTCGGCGCAGACCGCGCGGTCGGCCGAGGCCACACTGGGAGTCTTTACGTGGCACCAGAGCAACCTAACGTTAAGTCGGGCGTGTCCCTCTACAGGGGGAGTATTCACACACAGGATTAAAAAACATATGGGAACGATGTGTTGCTATTGCTGTGACTGTTTAGGAGTATGCTTTGAGTTTTTTTGTTCACCCCAAATCCGTCTGCACGGGGACATGCCCGACCTAAACCTAATGTTGGGCATCCCGTGCACCCTCGTGGCAGGACCGCGGGGGGGCGGCAGCTCGAGGGCGCCTTCGGCGGATGACCGCCGCCCCCCGCGTGTTGGAACCGCCCGCGCGGTCGAGCCCTTGGGCCGAAGGCCGGCCAGGCCGTGTCCCCCCCAGCCGTTGTGGACCCCCTTGGTGGAACACCTGGGAGAGGAAGAGAAAAGGGGAGGAGAAGGAGGAAAGGGAGGAGAAGGATGCTGATGATGCTGATGATGATGATGATGCTGATGCTGATGCTGATGCTGATGCTCATGATGATGATGATGATGCTGATGCTGATGATGATGATGATGATGATGATGATGATGATGATGATGATGATGATGATGATGATGATGATGATGATGATGATGATGATGATGATGATGATGATGATGATGATGATGATGATGATGATGATGATGCTGATGCTGATGCTGCTGATGATGCTCATGCTGATGATGATGATGATGATGATGATGATGATGATGATGATGATGCTGATGCTGATGCTGATGCTGATGCTGATGCTGATGCTGATGATGATGCTGCTGATGATGATGATGATGATGATGCTGATGCTGATGATGAGGATGATGAGGATGATGAGGATGATGAGGATGATGAGGATGATGAGGATGAGGATGATGAGGTGGAGGAGGATGAGGATGAGGATGATGAGGATGAGGATGATGAGGTGGAGGAGGATGAGGATGAGGATGAGGATGAGGATGCTGCTGCTGCTGCTCCTGCTGCTGCTGCTGCTGCTGCTGATGATGATGATGATGATGATGATGATGATGATGATGATGATGACGATGATGATTCCGTCCCCATCCTCGCCCCATGCCATCCTTTCGTTCGTGATCTTGCTTCCCGTCCTGCTCGTGCTCCCTTTGCTCTTCCTGGCCCTGCTCCTGCCCATCCTCGTCCACATCCTCCCTTAAAACTCCTCCTCCTCCTCCTCCTCCTCAACTCCTCCTCCTCCTCCTCAACTCCTCGTCTTCTCCTCCTCCTCCTCCTCCTCCTCCTCCTCCTCCTCCTCCTCCTCCTCCTCCTCCTCCCCCCACCACCTCCTCCTCCTCCTCCTCCTCCTCCTCCTCCTCCTCCTCCTCCTCCTCCTCCTCCTCCTCCCCCGCCACCTCCTCCTCCTGCCCCACCACCTCCTCCTCCTTCTCCTCTTCCTCCTCCTCAACTCCTCCTCTTCCTCCGCCTGGCCCAGAGGTTGGGAGCGGCTCGGAGCGTTGCCGCTCGGGGGCTGAGCACGTGGTCAGCGTGTCGCGCCGAGGCGTGGGTGGGCCAGAGCCGGCGGGGCGAAGCACCGAGCCGAAGTTCTTGACAGTACGGTAGGTTCGCGTCGTGTCGATTGGCGGCGATCCCGCCGCCAGCATTCAACGTTGAACGCTGGCGGCGGCCCAGAATCGGTCGGTGTTGAACGGCGGTCTGACGTTTCGGGGAAACGGCCACAATCGTTCGAGGTTGAACGATCCCCGGAAGAATCGAGCTCAAAATTGAGTTCTACTTTGAAGGTTCGAGGAGGTTGGAACTCAAATGGGAGTCCGAGCCGTCTCGAGCCTCACATGTAGAACTCAATGCGAATTCTATCATAGAGGGCTCGATGCGGCTCGAACTCAAATTGAGATCTAACCGTACAGTGCCCGTCAATTTAGAACTCAATTTGATTTTTAACACGAAGGGCTCAAGGCGGATCCCAATTTGATGTCTAATTTGGAGCGGTCGATGCGGTTAGAACTCGAATTGAGTTGTAGACGCATCGAACCCTTCAATAACGCGGAGGATTCGGGCTCGTGGCGGCTATACTTCAATGCTAGTTCTAACCGCATCGAACCCTCCATGTCAGAACTCAATGTGAGTCCTGAGTACAAGGGCTCGAGGCGGTTACAACCCAATTTGAGTTCTAAGTTGAGGGCTCCAGGCGGTTATAATTCAGTTTTAGTTCCAACAGCTGACCGCCCTCCAGTAGCTTGCAGGGCTCGAGGCGGTTTGGATTCAATTTGAGTTCTAACTTGAAGGGCTCGAGGCGGTTAGAACTGAATTGGAGTTCTAGATTGGAGTGCTCGATATGCCATGACGTGATCAAGGAAGTGCTTGCCTCGAAAAGCAAGAGGTACTCTGCCCTGGGGAAGGCTAGGTTTCGTGCCTGCGTCTCAGGAGCCTTCATCGCTGGCGCCTCGGTTCGGCAGTTGGGTTACGGCATTTCCGACGGTTGCCCCTTCGGTTGTGGGTTTAAGGGCCGTATTTTCCATGCGTTGTGGGAATGCAAACGCCTTCCGATAGCTGGGGTTCGCAACCAGTTGGTTGACCAAACCATGATTGACGCTGCGTTTGAAGCTAAGGCCTCGGGAGACTACGATAGAGTGTCCGTGTTCATCTCTGGATCCTTTCGGCACCCCGCCGACCTCTATCTTAGGCCTTTGCTTGAGGTTATCTCCGAAGGTCCCAGTCTGGTCTGGCACGACACCTCCTCCACCCCTTTCGGAAGCAGCAGTTTCGGCAATCGCGTTTGGGGTTCGTTTTTCAGTGACAGCTCCTGCAGCCGTCACGCTGTCCGAGAATTCACTTGGGTTGGGGCTTGTCATCATGGTCAA